TGATTCTCAGAAGGAAAACATACAATTAAGAACAAGTGTGAATCCCACTAAAGCACCTGTGGGGTGTGTAAACTCAGTTGAGTTGAGAGTTTTAAACATTCCAAGGTTAGGACAGACTAAGTAGTGGAACCATTATTCTCTAAGTCATGAAGTATCATCAAAGGAGGGTATGGAAGGGCTCAGTCAGGGGGCGGTTCTGGACTCTTAATCATTTAACTGTCATTTTAGTGTATCTCTGCAAAACCAAGCCAAAGCCTTTTCATTAGATGATGTTATTTCTGATTACTTCACAGGGTCAATTATTAACTTTGCCAGGTTGTCCTTGAAGTTGTGACCCTCCCATCTCAACCTTTCAATTAGTTGAGTTTACAGGTGTGAACCACCAAGCCTAGCTCTTACCATATTTTGATGTGGGGGGGGGGACCCAACCACATATTTAATAACAAAATCAAATGTGTATGGGATATGCAATCTGTTTTCTTCAAATCCTATTAAATCCGTTCTCATTGAAAATCCATTTCATCAAAGACCCTAAGAGGGGGGAGAGAGAGCCTGCAACAAAACACACAGGTGTGGATGCTTAGAACATGAAGAGAAGCATAGCTTCTGCCAATCACCTTCAAGTCTAGAATTGCATTGTACATAGCATAAAACTATGCCATATAGTTGAAGGAGAAATAAAAAAAATCTCCATGATAAAAATTAGATAGGAATTTATGATCCCTAAGCATCTCTATAGAGGATTCCAGACATAATGCTTCAGTATGAATAGGGTGACAAACAGACACACAACTGGCCACCAGGGATGAATAAACAATATCAGGAATGTTAATAAAAAGAAGTCTAAGAAAACAGCACAAAACCAACAAATAACAGGAACTTATATATACTCATCTGAATTTAGTAAACTAATATCTTGGAATTAGTGTTCTTAATTGCCCAAGGAAAAGATATAGACTACCAGATTGGATTAGTAAACAGCATTCATCTCTTTCATCCCAAAATCATGTCTTGCAACCAAAGATAGATATCACCTTAGAGTAAAAGGATGGAAAATAATTTTCTAAGCCAATGGAACAAAGAATCAACCAGGCATGGTTAATCTAATATCTGACGAGATAGAATTCAAACCAAAACTACTTAGGAGAGATAAAGAGGGACTCTTCATTATTATTAAAGGATCAACCCATGAAGAAGCTATTATAATTTTAAAAGCATCTCCACCAAACACATGTGCACCCAATTTCATAAAATGCTAATTGATGTACAACCACTGATTAATCCCAACACAATGATAGTGGATAACTTCAATGCCCTACTGTGGTGGTTAGAAAGAAAATGCCCCCCAAAGGAAGTGGCACTATTAGGAGATGTGCTCTTGTTGAAGTAGGTGTGGCCTTGTTGCAGGAAGTGTGTCACTATGGGAGTGGGCTTTGAGGTCTCTTTTTCTCAAGCTTCACTCAGTGTGACACTCAATCTACTTCCTGTTGACTTCTGATGAAGATGTAGCTAACACCATGACTGACTGCATGCCACCGTGCTCCCAGCCACCAAGCTCCCCAAAATGATGATTATGAACTCAACCTCTGAACTGTAAGTGAGCCATTTCGATGAATTGTTTTCCTTTATTAGAGTTGCTGTGATCATGTCTCTTCATGGCACTAGGAATCCTAACCTACTCTCAACAATAAATCTTCTAGGCAAAAACTAAACAAGAAGATGACTTAATGACAGAAAGAGCATGACCATCTCAACAGATTCAGAAGAGGCTTCTGTCAAAATCCAACATCTCTGCACGGTGAGAGCCTGAAAAAGACTTAGAATGGAAGATGCATACCTCAACATAATGAAGACATAAGACAAACCTATAGCCAATATCCTAGAGGAAAAAGGAAAAACTCCCACTAAGAGTAGAAACAATATAAGAATGTTTACTCTCCACTCCTATTCAATGCAGTGTCTTATCTACAGTAGTAATAAAAGAATACACACACACACAAACACACACACACACACACACACACACACACACACGGGAGAAGAAGTCAAATTATCTTTAACTGTCAGTGATATAACTTTACACATAACAAAGGCTCCACAAAGACTCACAGAGATGACAAACACTTCCACCAAGTTGGAAACTCACAAGAATTGGGACTCATCCTTTTTTCTTTTTTTTTTTTTAAATTTATTATTTTACATGTCAATCCCAGTTCCCTCTCCCTCCTTCTCTCCCTCCCTTCCTTTTACCCTCTCCAATGCTGAAAATGAAGTCATGGAAATAATCACATTCCAATAAACACACACACACACACACACACACACACACAGAGAGAGAGAGAGAGAGAGAGAGAGAGAGAGAGAGAGAGAGAGAGAGAGAGAACAACCACACAAAAACCTGGAGATAAACCTATCCAAGGAAACAAGCAAAAAAAACCCTACAGTGCAAACTTTTGGACTCTGAAGGAAAAAATGAGGGAAAAACTAGAGGATGGGAAACTTGCCATGCTCATGAATTGTAAAAATTAATCTGCTCTAAACAGTTATGCTACTAAAAGAAATCTGGAGGCACAAAAGGCGAATGATAGCTGGAGCAATCCTGTTCAGGAAAGTATTTGGTGCCATCATAACCGAATATGAATGATATTACACCACAGCCATAGTAAGACAACAACATAGTGCCGGCACAGGGACAAACAGATCGAATAGGCATTGGTGAGACTTCCTGAAGAGGACTCTGGCAGCACAGCAGACACTCAACAATGGATCCTCAGAAACCAAAAAGCTTCTGCATCGCAAAGGAATATGCCAGTTGAGTGAAGAGGCAATCCACAATATGAAAACAAATTTTTACTACCTATGCTTTTGACAAAGGACTGGTGTCTAGACTAACCAACGAATTAAAAAAATATAAACATCAAGAAAACAAAGAAATCAATTTTAAAATGGGCTAGATAATGGAAAAAAGTAGTTCTCAAATGTTAATTATACCCATAGATAAGAGAAATTCCCTTTTACAGTGGGCAGTGGTAACTGCAGAAATTCACAGCTGGTCAGAGTGGTGAGAACAAGAGACTGCTGGATACTCAACATGAGTAGGGCATCACACACACACGCCACACACACACACACACACACAGCATGAAAGGGGGAGGAAAGAATGTAAGGGTGTGGAATTATGTGGGTCACTGGCTTCAGAGGGCATCTCACAGCAGTTGTGTTTCCAAGAACAAAAACTATGCAAGATTAGGCCTATTGATATCAAGATGGTGGGAGGGGCCCATTAAGCCATTATAGGCAGATAAGATCTTGAGGTTCCACCTTTCTCTGAGTATCTAGGAGTAGTTGATGGGGGAGGGAGAGACTTTTCTTAGGTGGAGTATGAGTCTGTAAATTATCTCTCACCCAGCACCCTGTAAGAAAGCCTAGTAAAATACAGTGGTTACAGGGAAAAAATCATAAATGTAGGAAGACCAGCTCATAAGAAGACTAGGATCAGTGAGGACGAGGAGAAAACAAGAGAGGGGAATGAGGTGACTATGATAAAAGTACATCATATACAGGCATGGAAATATCAGAATGAGGTCTACTATAGTCCATAATTAACACTTGCAATACAGAAAGATATAATGATATAAATGTACATTAAGACCAATAAAATATTTACTTAGAAATACCTAGTTAATTGCACATTTACAATCAATAATTTAACCATTTAAAACTCTTTGTTAATTAGATTATTACTGATTATCAAGATTGATAAAAAAAACTTACTAATTTTGATTCTTAATTTAATAGCTTTTACTAAAGATATGTGTGGTGTATAATATGTGTGTGTGTGTGTGTTATGTGCCTTTACATCACTATAATGGAAGGCCTGGCGTGGGTCATTTGTGAAGAAAACAGTTTTCTTTTTGGCATGCTTGTTTGGATCATCAGGTCAAAGATTGGGCAGCCCCATGATCTGGGTCTTTGGAAAGGTGTCACTCTGGGACAGAAGCCAAGAAACCACAGAGGAGAAATGCACTGGACATCTTCAAAACCACCGAAGCTAAGGTCCTTTCACGAAGGTTCTTAAAGTCCACAAAACTTTCTCCCCAGGGATAAAACTTCTACTTATGGAATTGTAGTGAAAATGTAGCCAAGCCATACCGACTTTTAAAAAATGATTTGAAAGACTTGAATAAATCCATGTGTCTGACAATGGAAAGTACTGTGGAAAGTTTCCAATCAATTGAAAATTTTCCATGAGATGGAAAGCATGGTGTAGCACACAGGAAGTCTGGCTCATCGAACCTGGGGATTGCCGAATCACATGTATAGCCAGCGCTTCTGCCTCCTCACATTGGCAACCTTAGGCAGCTGATGCTAATGTGACCGTCAGTGTCTCTAAGAAAGATTCCAGAGAAGCACTGCATTCTCGTGTCTAGCTGAAATTGCTTCCTCTGGCACTCAAATCTGTTCCTCTAAAATTTCCAGATAAATAAAAATAGAATTAAAGTGTCCAGTGAGTCTGCAGGGATCATGTGTCACCATAAGAAACTGAACTGACTTGCAAAATAGTATGAGGCTGATCTCTGAAGCAGTGTGGCAGCCAGAGTGCACAGTGAGTGTCCAAGGGCAGCTAAGAGGGACAAAGAGATGAAAAGAAACTGTCAGCGCTAACATGTATGCTATGTGTGGGGAGAACCTCGAGTCTCAGCCGTCTGTGAACACATGTGTACTTGATATAGACAACAACAAAGCAAAAAACAGGACTTAGAATGTGGTCCCACAGTGCCAAAGTTAGATTCTGAAAAAAGTAAGGCAATTATCCACCAAAGTAAAAGGAGATTTTTTTTTTTTTCAGACTCCTCAACCATGTCGTATTTCATCATTTCCTCTTTTGTGGTCTGGAGTAAGAAGTGTCATGTTGTCCAATAAACTCCCTGTCCTTGTGCAAGAAAGGAAACTCTGGCTTCGTTGTTCGGCGGCAGAGCACTTTAGCACGCTGTGATGACAGCTGCACCTGACAGGGTTAAGCCTTAAAAAGTGGGTGAAGAAGTCATATTTCGAGCCTCACCTCCCAAGGGCTCCTATTAAGTTGGAAAGAGAGAGAGAGAGGGAGGAAAGGGGAACGAAGAATGCATTCAGCGAAACCATCTGCCTCTTACCACACAGGTACAGTTCGCAAGTCCTTCCTCTGCTTGCACAGCTCTCCTATCAGAACAGTAGGGAGTCTGTTAAGGGCTAGGACAATGGAAAGGTGTGAAGTGAGGTGGAAAGGAAAAGGCAGAGAAGAAAGGTCAGGATTAGCAGAATGCTCGCCAAGGAGCCCGGGAAAGGCTGCCAGTTGGCTGTTTCTACCGTCTGTGATGCTCTCTGAATGTCTTTGAGCAAGTCCTTCACTTCTGCTGGATTCACTCTACTGCCTGTAAAATGTATATTGGAGGAAAGGAAGTGCCCACTGCATGACCGTTATGTCTAATTTATAAAGAGCGTGCAAATGAGACACCAGGAGAGAGACTAGAAAAGCAAAGGGGGGAAATGAAGTAAAAGGAGAAGAAAAGAAGGGAAGGGTATACCGAGGAGGGCCTTAAAGGATAGCAATATTTCTCATGGGGGAGTTAGAAATGAAAAGCTCATACACATAAGTCCTAGTCTTACAATCAGCAATGGAGGACAGAGGGTTCTTAAGGTGTGGTTTCCAGGCTAGCAGTCCCGGAGAGCACACTGCTTGCACAAAACTCTCCGGAATTGTTAACTCCAGGGTGGAGGGGGTGAGGCCCAGCAATCTCCATACCACACAGATGCATGGACAAGCCTGGAGATCACTAGATACCGGCAATTATGAACAGGAAGTGGTAAGGATAGAACTGACTCAAATCTCTTTTGTATATTGCTTTGGGAAGATTCGCCGTGTGTTATATCTTTCTTCCTACAGAGAGAGAATGCTTCAAAACTTCCGCAGTGCTCTCATGGACCATGGCTGGGGCCTCCATCCTATTTCTCAGTGTCTGCTTCATCACCAGATGTGTTGGTGGGTTCTGAAAGTCAAGTTCATTCTCGCCACGGCTAACGCTAGCAGCAGATTCTGGCTTGTTGCATCACTTTTCCTTTCTTACAAATTTTCCCACATGCAATAGCTTATTGTTCTTGACAGATGTTGTTTTAAACAGTTTCGTGTATGTATATAATGTATTCTGATTACTCATTCTCTCACACCTGCTCATGGCCCTCCCTTCACTATCAATACCCACCTAGTCCGTTCCCCAGTTTCCTGACTTTTGGTTCGGTTTTGTGACCCATTTGTGATCACTAGATGGAGTGTCCATTGGGGAATGTTGGGGTCATCAATGGGTATAGAATTGAAAGCAACAATTCCCCCGCTCCCTGAATCTATCAATAGGAAGAAGCCCAACAGAGGACAGGGTTTTCTGAGAGTGAATGGTCACACCCAGTGCGATCACCAGCAGCGTTGTTGGTTTATGGTTGTAATAGCTGTGCCCGGTCTAGATGACATTTCATAGCTCTTCTGGCTCTCACATTCTTTTCCTCTTCCCTGGGCCATAAAGTGGATGACAAATGCCTTGCTTAGAGCTGAGCACACTCATCCACCACTTATTCTCAGTACCTTGTATGGCCATGCATTTCTGTGTTTTCCACCATTCACCGGGAGAGGCTCCTCTAATGAAGACCGAATAGTGTTTATCTATCTATGGGTATAAACACAGATATAGAGATGGCAACTTGATACTAGATTAATTTAGCTGAATAGCAGTATTCATAGACTCAGTTAGGGCCTATGAGGTCCCCTGCAATGGGTTTTAACCAGATTTATAGTGCCGTTTTAGTTCATTTTCCTTTCCATTCATCCCTAAGCTCTAGGTTGTTTCCTAAGCCAGAAGAAACGCAACTAGTCTGAAACCATGTCTGAATTTCAGTCATCTCTACACATTTTTGTGATGCCTATTTTCCATCCCATTGGTGCTCTTGAATTCTTCCTTTCAGACCCCTGTCATTAGGCCAACCTTGTCTATGAAATGTAAACCTGCAGCTTAGATGACTGGTTAGGACCAAAGGCACAGGAATTTGCTTGGTGGATGGAAGGTTTACATGGCTAGACTTGGTACAGGAGGGACTGCAAACATGTTTTTGACCTGAAATGGTTTATTCTCTTTTAAGTCAGGAAAGACATGAAATGTGAATTACTCTTATTTTGGGGAAGTGGATCCCAGCGTGGAGGGGAGAATAGGCAATGAAGAAACTTCCAGATAACTGTTGGCAGCTTTGTTAAGAGCAGAAAACCGGGAACAAGGATTCCATTATGAACAAGGATATGAAGCATTGACCGTGACCCTTTCCTTTACAGTAACGTATCGCAGTTGTCAAATTAATGAGCAGAAAAAGTTACTGTCACGTGAAAATGTCAAGGAGCTCTCCTGCTACAGTGTCACATCAGGTACACGCGTCTGCAAAATTGGACATTAAAGTACATATGACAACCTTTTTTGTTAGCTTCCTGATTGTCTTTGGTATAAGGAAACTACAGTGGGATTTGTTTTTCCAAGTGAAATGATAAATCCTGTCTATGCAGAGACAGGGGAAAGGCTGTAGAGAACAGAGGGACAAAACTCTGGAAATGCAGGTGTCCTTGAGCCAGAGATCTCAGGGACATTTCAGCAAACGCTGAGGATAAATTTCAGGTATACATCTAAATGGGAACTCTGCAAAGGAAAGAATCTATTGCCCAGAATGGAAGTTTTTCTTCATTTACCTGCTTCCAAAATGAGGTGGAGAAAAAAAACATGCACAGAGAATTTTAATATACCCAAAGAAAAATTCTCAAATATTCTCATATATCAGCGTAGTTCAAAACATGGCTGCTAGACTCTGGCAAAGTAAGCTATTTCTCTGAGCCACAATTTTCTTGTCATTAAATTAAGAAACTTCAACGACTGAAATTCAGTGGTTTAAAAACATTTATCGGAGAACTGGTAAGAGTCCAGTGCTTAGCTACAGAGGGGGGTTTGCCCCAGAGTCACCCAGAGAAGACTCAAGACTGACCTTGCTAGCCTGAGCACAGAACTAGGGTTCTGCTGTGACTCCACGACCCAGGTAGACTGCACACATTGCTTTGTTTACTGGTCCTGATACCTAAAGAATAACGATTGTGCTCCAAAGACGAAGTTGCTGCTTGTGCATGTTGACCCTGGAATTCCCTAACAGTCTTAGAGAACAAGCTGAGGGCTACAAAGGAGAGGAAAGATTACAAGCTCCAGGCTCCCCCGGTGTTGTTTGTACTCCATCATATCACAAGCCAAATTCCCTGCCATTCCCTGAAGCCTCTCTCCTCCTAGGTTCAGTCAAGAGCTGCTGTCCTTTGAACTGGCAACATTTTCAGTCTAGTTGTTACTTTTTCTCCAAGACCACCCTGACCTGGCCATCAAGTTTAAAGAACTGCTCAGAAATGGGGGCGCACCTGGTAGTTATCAACACACCGGAAGAGCAGGTAATTGGCAAACTGGCTCCTCTGTGTCGGTGGGATATTTTACTGATCTTTTCTCCCTGACTGGTGCACAAGGTTTGAGCCACAAGCTGTTTCCCAAAGGAGTGGGTTGACATGAGTCCAGCTGCCACTGTTGACTGTGTGATGGCTCAACATTAGCAGTCCCTTTAAAAGGCTGATTTACACAGAGAGATCCAGTATTAACCAGAGTAGGGGGAGTAGGAGCCAACTTTAGGATAGTATTTTGTTGGTGAGTACTTTATATGAGTGAGGGCAAACAACTACTACCCAACTTTGAATGAATTACACAGAATCTCCTTTTGGAGGTTAGGGAGTTTTTATCTGTTGAGTTATCTGTAGTTTTTCACAATAAAAAACTAGTAGATGGCCTTCAGGAGTCTTATAGTTTGAGGAATGCTTATCTAGTGTCTAGCCTCGGTTCTGTCTCACCCCTCCTAACTACTTTTAGCATCTCTTCAGAACCAAAATAATTGATCATGTGTCTTATTATTGTTGTTGTTATTGTCATTATCATGTTTCTTCCTTAGGAATTCCTTTTCAAACAAAACCCAAGAAGAAAGAGTTTTATATTGGACTGACTGACCAAGTGGTTGAGGGTCAATGGCAATGGGTGGATAACACACCTCTCACAGAGTCCCTGAGGTAGGTATATCTTGTGGGAAAATCGTCACATCAGGTAATCCTAAAGTGAGGTCTGTGGGAATCGGGCTACAGTTGGGACGAGCCGGCTTGCCCCTGGTTCATATCTGAGAGGTGGAGTGTGGACTGAGAAAGGACTAGGTAAAGATGTTAAGAGAAAGACAGAGACACAGGACAGGCCATTCAGTGAATACAGAATGTCCCGAGTTTATACTTCATCATTGTTAAATACTTTAACCAAAAAGGGGAACATGATATCATGTTTACAGAACAGACTTTCTTCCTTAATTCGCCAAGGATTCGGTAACCACACCTTAGATTCAAATTCTCATTATCTGGCCTTGAGGGTCAAGAGTAACCACACCTCATGCAAAATCTGTTGTTATTAGATAAGACACCCAAGGCCAAGACCAAGCATCCTACTATAGCCATGCCTTAGACTTTTAGGTCTTATAACTCTCTAAGGACAGTTTTGAACTTTTTGACCTTGAGCCAAGACGAAGCAGACTCATTTTTATGGCCCCAGACAGAGCCCATGTTCTTGGAATTCTCATCTCAGACTGGCTTTTGCAACAATGATGTAAATTCAGGTCCATCACTGGTGATACTGGATGCAGGAAGAAGGAAATTGGAGGTATGGGTTCCTAACCCTCCTCTTCCCTGGGAATGCCAAAAGAATGACAGAGAAATAATAAATGAAAATGATGAGGAAAATAGAACTGGAGATCATTGACTACGGTGTAGAGTCTGAAAACAGTAAAGTTGTATCTTATACCCTAAAATAGAAATAAGTGAGATATATTAACTTATACTGACAGAATATTCTGATGATCCTACAGCCTTCCCCCTTAATAATGGCCTATGTCATTACAACATCGCATTTACAGCTGGTTTTCATTATTTCTCTATTGAAATCACGCATTTCTGAGACGTGCCAACGGTACTAATCTTTAGCCAGCGTCTGAGGGAACTAAATGTCAAAGGCACTGGGTGACTCCCTCAGCTGACAAGCAGCACTTGTGAATCCAGGGCTTGGCTGCCTGAATCCTGAGAAGATGTGCTTCACTACACAGTGAAGGATGCCCTAGGAGAACAAAGAGTGAGAGCGGCATGAGGTAGGCAGGCAGGCAGGCAGAGGCATTGCACCTGCCAAGTCACCAGCCTGGGTTGCCAGTCCTTATCATGGCGTCTCTTTCTGGGTCCAAATCTATGGAGTTGCCTGACAGTATAGAAATCCAGGAAGATCCCACCAGCTGATGACATACACAAGTGGGTTTTTCTTCACTGATAAAATGAAAATTATAATTTCACCTCACAAAGTGAGTGAAATAACAAATATGTAAATCGTTTAATGTGTTGTCTCCTTTCACTGAGATTTAAAATCTCCCATTTCCCTTTCACAGCTTCTGGGATGCTGGGGAGCCCAACAATATAGTTTACGTGGAGGACTGTGCCACCATAAGGGACTCTGGAAATCCCAGGAAGAATTGGAATGACATACCCTGTTTTTACAGTATGCCTTGGATTTGTGAAATGCCGGAAATAAGTCCTTTGGACTAAATGCAAGTGAACGCAGGAGACATGGTTTAAATGCATGAGGAGCAACAAGAGGGTAACAAAACCCAAAACCCAGCATGAGAAAACATCCGTTATGGACCATAAGGACCACAAACACATGTGTTACTCTGATATGAGTAAAACCGAGTTGTTCCCATTGCTAAAATCTCTGGTCCCGACTGACATTCTCGCCATAGCCCTCAAGCCTGTTTTCAGAATGTGCAGAGTAATCCACTAATAAATGCAGCAAGAGGAAAGGGACTTTCCCGCTGGCATCTGTCTGGCTTATGAGAACTGATGGGAGGAGCATAAGTACAAGCGACTGCACCATCTGGTGAAGAAGAGGTCTACAGACCCAGACTTGGGATGGTCCAGATAATCCTCTTCTTTCCACATCCTAGGATCGAGGTCATCTCCTCACACTGTTAATGCACAGATCACATCCATACTCTCCAACAGCAAGGGAGAAGCATCTCTGGCTCTTAAACTTACTGCTGCTGAGGAGAATGGCATGGCTGTCAGCGCATCTCCAGAGACAGAGGCCAAATCAGCTCCAAACAGATGGTGGTCTAGTCCACTCTTCCCCATCAACTGGCTCTCCCCTGCATTTGTATCTACTGCTCAAGTAGAGTCAGAGTTCCAAGTGAGATTGTCCTTTAAAAATTCAGTTTCACACTTTCCCTTCTCAAGACTTTCTGTTTATTGCGTGATAATCTGTCGATACAGACCTTGTTTCTTCCAGATAGAGTCATAAAGACACCTTCAGCAGCTTTTACACATTGGAATAATATGTATCCTTGAGTAGGGAAGCTAGACTAAACAAATCATTTCGCTGTATCAGCATTCTTTACCAGTTAGACATTGTAACAATCTGATTTTGAAATTGATACTCTTTTTTTTAACCTTTTTTTTATTTAAATTAGAAACAAGCTTTTTTTTTTTACATGTCAATCCCAGTTCCCTCTCCCTCCCCTCCTCCCCCTTACTCCCTATCCCATCTTCTTTCTGCTCCCCAGGGAGGTTGAGGCCTTCCATGGGGAGTCTTCAAAGTCTGTCATATCATTTGAGGCAGGACTTAGGCTCTCCCCCAGGTATCAAGGCTGAGAGATTATCCCTCTATGTGGAATGGGCTCCCAAAGTCCATTCATATACTATGGATAAACACTGATCCACTACCAGAAGCCCCATAGACTGCCCAGGGCTCCTAACTAACACCCACGTTCAGGAGGTCTGGGTCGGTCCTATGCTGGTTTCCAGCTACCAGTCTGGAGTCCATGAGCTCCCCCTTGTACAGACAGCTGTTTCTGTGGGTTTCTCCAGCCTGGTCTTGACCCCTTTGAAACGCAGTCATCTGACCTTCTGATTCGTTTTTGTTTTTTTTAATTATTTTTGTTTGAAAGTTTCATGTATGTGTAGAATTCTCTTTTATCAAGCCCATCCTTATTCCCTCCACTACAGCCTGGCCCTTCTACCTCACCTCTCTCCCAGTTTCACGTGCTGTTCTCCTTTTTAAACCTGCCGTGTCTACCCAGTGCTGCTGTGTGAATGGCCAAGGCCGTGCACCCCTTCCCAAAACCACTAGTCCTAGAGAAAAGCCCTCAATAAAATATCACAGAACCCTAGGAAGCAAATTTAAAGGGAAATAATAAACCTCATTAAATAATTTAATGAATTTAAAGAAGAAATGATCGACAGCTCAATAATATAAGAGGGGGAAAGGAATAAATGCCTGAGTTATGTTCAAGGTAACACAATGTGCAGTTGAACGAAATGATAAACACAATTCCAGACTTGAAATCTGAACTCATAAAAGAGATACGATTATTGAAGAGAACTCAAGCTTAAATGAAGACAGAGTTGGAAAACCCAACAATTCTGAGTAAAGCCTTATAAATAGGATGGATAAAGTTGAAGGTAGAATATCAGGACTTAAAGGTAAATCATAGGACCTAAACCACTCAAACGAAAATAGGGGAAAAAACTTTAAACATACAAAAGAAATATATAGGAATTATGAGACACCCTGAAATGAGCAAATATTCAAAGTAAAGGCACAGATGAAGGAGAATAATCCCAGTTTAATGGCACAGACCAGATCTTCAACAAGATCATAGAGGAAAACTTTCCTAAATCGAGAAATACATAACCCTACAGATCCAAGAAGCAAACAGAACACTGATTAGATAGGGCCAGAAAAGAACCTCTACATGGCTTATTATAACTAAGCACCAAATATACAGAGCAAAGAGAGGGTACTGAAAGCGACAAAGAAAAAAACCAATCACATATATAGGAAAAACCACCAGAATGACAGCCAATCTCTCAATGGAAAATTTAAGAGCCTAGAGCAATGCACCTCAGGTACTATGATGGTCTGCTATACTCATAAGTCGATGCCTAGTCCAGTCATCATCAGAGAGGCTTCCACTGGCAGCTGATGGGAGCTGATACAGAGACCCACAGCTAGACATTGGGAGGACAGAGCTCCCAGGCTGGAGGTCTCCATCAGGTCCCTCCCGTCAGAGGACACCAGGAGAGCACACCAGGGAATCAGCTGATCAGGGCTCATGGGGGCTCACAGAGCCTGCATCGGTCTGTACTAGTTCCTCTGTGTGTTTGCTATGGTTGTTGGCTTGTTTTGTGGGGCCTCCTGGCAGTGATAATGGGGGGTGTGTCCAATTCTCTTGCCTGCTTTTGGGACCCTTTGCCACTACTGGATTGCTCGCCCAGCAGTGATTGGAGGGTTTGTACTTGGCCTTATTGTGTGTGTGTGTGTGGTTTTGTTTGTTTGTTTGTTTTGTTTGTGCTGTGTTGGGTTGATGCCTCTGGAAGGCCTGCTCTTTTCTGGGGGAACATAGGGTGGGGAATGGATTGGGAGGGAGGGGAGGAGAAGGAAGGTAACTAGGAAGGGTAAAGGGGAAGATGCGGTGGTCCAGATATACTGTATGAGGTAAGAATAAATAAAAATTAAAAAAGAAAAAAAGAACCATGGGCAGCAACCTAAGCTACTGTATCCAGTATAAACAGCAGAAATAATTTATATCCACCAAATTAACTCTACAGAAAATTCTGGAAATGATTCTTTAGACTTAAGAGAGGAGCTGGCATAGCTAAGACACAATAGAAAGAAAACAAATGCAGGTAAATGGATGGGACTAGAGCTAGGTCACCAAGACCCAGAGACACAAATGCAACATGTTTTCTCTCTTATTTGTAGATCTTAGCTCTGAATCTGCAGCTATGAGAGTATAACCTGGACTCACCATGGGACCAGGAGAGGAAAAGGTGCTGAGGAAGGAGTTGGGGGGGGGGGATACAAGTGCTACAAAGTGAGACATGGGGAAGTGTGTGTGTGTGTGTGTGTGTGTGTGTGAATTAACTGGAAAGGTGAGAGGGAGGCCAAGGAAGAAGGGAGGAGGGATAGTTGTACTAAGAGCATTTGAAAAAGCCATAGGGAAAATACTTTGTTTGCTTAAAAATATATAATATAGAATGCATACATATATGCATACATTATGTATACATGTATATATATGTACCTGTGTATATGTATACACTCATACATACATACATACACACATACACACACACACACACACATATATATATATATGTATATATATATATATAGTGCTACTTTGTATAGACTGTCTAACAAAAGCCCCAAGGACAGCCATGGAAAACTTCCCTTTGAGTTATTTGTCAAGACAGTTGAAGAGAAATAATATATGGATATCGCCATTGCCTTTGGTTTCCTCCCAGAAATTGAAGGTTAAGCCCCTATTCCTGAAGCCACCACACACTTGGAGGAATCCACTTAGAACTGACCTGGAAGCCTTGTTCTGAGTGCTGGCTCTCAGGTATTCAAAGATGATATTCAAGCTGCTGAGGCAGCAAATCAATTAATAGTTCTGCCATGTGATGACCACAAAATACAAAGACTACCTGCATGGCACAAAGGTAGAGTACTGCACTTTCGTTGCATGGCTGAAGCCATGAGAAGGAAGGAAGTCACACTTGACACTGTAAATTTAGTGAACTACCTATGTCTAGTTAGGTCATGGAACCTAGAGGAGAACCTACTACAGCCACTGTTCTAAACTGGTCTTGCTACTTGCGTTCTAAACGCCTATCTTAATACCCATAGATAAGACAGTTCTCTCTCACTCCCTCATCAAGGAAGCTGAGGGAGACCACTGCAGAGATCAACAGCTGGTGAAAATGTAGAGAGAAACTGACTGCGGGGTTAACAGACCCCAGAAGAGGGGGTGGAAAGGCTGCAAGAGCATCCGCTGTAGGATGCTGTCATCTCTATGTGCTGGGGATGCTATACCCATGGAATATCAAAAGTACCACCACCTACACAAGTCCTACATGTGACAGTTCACACCAAGTTATTTTTTTTTTTGTTGCCATGACAATACACCATAGCCAAGGAGTTTATAAAAGAAAATATTTAGTTAGGGGCTCATGGTTCCAGAAGGTTAGATTCATAACTATCATGGTATGGAACCCGGCAGCGTGCAGTCAAATATAGAGCAATAACTGGGATCTTACATCTGACCCACAAGGAAGAGGCAGATAGAGGGAGAGAGCTAACAGGGAAGGGCATGGGCTTTTGAGACCTCAAAGTCATCTTCTAGTCACACACCTTCTCCAACAAGGCCATACCTCCTAATCCTTCTCAAACAGTTCCACCAACTGCAGGCCAAATATTCAAATACATGAGCCTAAAGGGGCAATTTTCATTCAAATTACCACATAAGCTAATATGGATGGGGGGAACTCTCACAGAGCCCTACCCCTAGATCAGTGATTTCTCAACATGCGGATTGCAACCCTTTAGGGGTCAACCAACCCTTTCACAGGAGCCACATATTAGATACTTATACTATGATTCAAAACAGTAGCAAAATTACAGTTGTAAAGTATCAACAAAAATGTTATGGTTGGGGGGGGGTCATCACAACATGAAGAACTGTATTAAAGGGCCACAGCATTAGGAAGGTTGCCCTTGACGAAGAGCTAAGGCAGTAATGGCTGCTAAGAAAGGGAGAATAGTTCTTTAAGCATTAGCCCCCTGATCGTTTATCCAATTCAAGCAGTCAGCCCTGAGCAGATACAAACAACACTAAATGGACTCATCAGACTGTACTTACATATGTGTGAGCAATAATAATTTAAGAATAGGCCATGCATTTGTGAAGGTGGGGACACGGGAACAGTTGCAGGAGGAGGGGGAGATGATGTAATTACAGTGCTCATGTATGGAATTCTGCGGGTGGCCATGTCATACTCATGCACAGAATTCTGCGGGTGGCCATGTCATAGGAGCAGCAGGTGGCAATGAACGTTCCAAGGTGTCAGCCCGCCAGGAGGCAAATTCCTGATGCGTAGACCTCAGCTAGGCACGACCAGGAGACCACAGACCCTGGCACACCTTTGGCTTCTGCTGTGCCTTTACGTGTTTGCCTCTGCCATCTTTCTCTAGTATCTGCCATGATGTGAACGGGAGTGGGGAGATTTCCCACTGCCTGTAATGTAATGTGTTTATCTCATGGAAACAGTCCATTCTGCTGGGCATTTTACCTTTGGATTATTATGAAGGTGATTTTTTTTCCTAACTGCACTAATTGATAATAATATTAGTTTAAATAAAGTTTTGATGATTAAAAATATACACAAGGGATTGTCACACAGCTAGGGCCTATGAGTTTCACCTAAGGAGCTGCATAGATAACAGTTCAGGTTAATGATTAAAGAAAACAGTTGAGTCCCCATGGATCAGGCTGGCTCTAATTCTTTTAATCTTAATATTGGAACATGTGTTTACAGGTTTTGGAGTGCATTATAGCAGAAAAAAAGCCTTAGAACGATCCCAGGTTAGATCAAGATATTTTGATAACAGTTTTGAGGTTAGGGATTTTAAAAAAAAATAAGCAAACCAATTATTACTAGCTGAGATACTTCCCTTGGGAGGATTGGCTGGTGATCAAAGATGATGATGAAGTCCTTATACGCATATCTGCGCTCTTTCTCTCTCTCTCTCTCTCTCTCTCTCTCTCTCTCTCTATATATATATATATATATATATATATATATATATATCAAACTACTGATGAGTGGGTATGCACCCTAAAAATTTAAAGTAGAGATGACTGGGTGTTTTCATGTATAAAAGTTTAGGTTTGTGATTCCTTTAAGATCATTTATAAGATTACCTTTCAAGATAAATAATAAAATAATTGATCCTTTTTTATAACCACAAAATGCAGCCTGTCAGTAAAAGAACTGACTGAAAAAGATACCTTGCTTGCTTACACTTTGTTAATCTATAATAAGTTGCTTGGATATGAATGTATGTGTGTTCTTGAGAATGAATTGCTTTTCACCTGTAATATGCAAAATGTTAAGTCATGGAAGGGAGATGAAAAATGTTTTCTTTTTACTTGTGGCCATTGTAATCATTCACTTTAAAAAATAGAATGTAACTACATTGTAATTTCTATATTGCCTAAAAGACTTTGTTAAGGTAAATAAGCTGGAGAGGAAAAATAAAGGCAGAGAGTAAAGGTAGAATGAGCAGGAAAACATCAAGAGTGAAAGGAGGAACCCACAGGGTAGAGAATGCAGAAGAAGCATAAAGAAGACTAGTGAGATCGTGTGTGAGTGCCTTTCCTCTTAATTCCCTCAGATAAGAAAGTCAAGTATGCTGATTGCATTTTTGAGCCCTGTGCTGCTGGTCTCTTTAGAAATGTTTAAAATACACGGAAAAAAAAAAAGTCTTTCAAAAGGATAACCTGATGATTGTAATTAATTACTCTAAAGAGTCACTGAAGTATGGGGCTTCTTGAAGGAAGAGACTTACTTCATTTTTTTCTTTGTTTGTTTTTTGTTTTGTGAGACAGGGTGTATTGCTTTGGAGACTGTCCTGAAACTAGTTCTGTAGACCAGGTTGGCCTCCAACTCACAGGCATCCTCCTGCTTCTGCCTCCCGAGTGCTAGGACTAAAGGTGTGCGTCACCAATGCCCAGCCTACTTCATCTTTTTTGTCCTTTCTTTTTTATTGTGTCCCCTTGTCACTCCTCTCCCTCTCTGGCTGGAAGCCTTCCTGATTAGTCAGTCCCTTCTCCTACACGCACATTTTCTTGTGTGTGACCGACAGGGATGGGTGAGTTTCTTGTCCAAATGTGGATGAGAGGCAGGGGCAGTTAGCAGCTGAAATGGCTACATTGTCCAACCGCCTGCTACATTCTCATGTTTACACCCATAGAATACTGTTACTTTTTGTTTTCATTAATGTATTTACTGTTTGCATGTTAACATGTGTATGTGTTGGTTCCCTACATATGAAATGTGGGAATGGACCTAACCAGAGACTGCTGCCTTCATCCAGGTAGGAGGGCTGGGGGCCCAAAGAATGGTATAGGCTCTGGAGATTAATCATTCTTAGCAGCAGGAAACAGATGGTAGAAAGCAGTGCAAAATCAGTGAAGGACATCACCGAGGGCTCACACTTTATTGACATTTTATTGACAACTGGATTTCTACATAGATAGGCTTATTTGTTTGTACATTAAAATATACAAAATTAACTATACACAGATTAATAAAATTATTTCAACTCATCTTGTGCTTCAATCTATATGATTTATATGATATATGTGATTTATATGATTATATGACTTAATTAATGTGCCCAACACATATAAAGTCCTACTTCATTCAAAAGTACCAACATTTTTAACATGGACACACAAAAAACACATACACTCCACTGCCATACTTAACCAAACATCAATATTCTACATTTTGGGGGGGTTATTATTTTTTTTTCTTTTTTCTTTTTTTGGTTTTTCAAGACAGGGTTTCTCTGTAGCTTTGGAGCCTGTCCTGGAACTAGTGCTGTAGACCAGGCTGGCCTCGAACTCATAGAGATCTGCCTGCCTCTGCCTTCCAAGTGCTGGGACTAAAGGCAAGCACCACCAATGCCCGGCCAAGATTCTACATTTAACCTGGAAAATCATTAACAAACTTGCAAAGCCATTGTTGCCTTTAAAAATGGTGGAGAAGATAGGTTAAAAGTTGAAAATTGTCAGCTCTGATGCAGGAAACATTAGCAAATCAAATTTCAGACAAGACTAGAACAGTCTTTTACTTCAAAGAAAATTGTGTGTGTGTGTATGTGTTGTGTTTTGTGTATTGTGTGTGTGTTGCATGTGTTGTGTATATTGTGTGTGTTGTGTGTGTGTTTTGTGTGTGCTGTGTGTGTTATGTATATTTTGTGTGTGTGTGTGTGTGGTGTATTTTGTGTGTGTGTGTGTTTGTGTGTTGTGTGTTGTGTATGCAGAAGAAAGACTCAGATACCCTGCAGATTGTGCTGCAGGCCACTGTGAGCCTCCTGATGTAGGTAATGGGAACCAGACTCCAGTCCTCTAAAGATGAGCAAGCAATCTTAACTGCTGATCCATCTCCTTCCTCAGCCCCCAGTAGGTTTTCTGATAGTCATTTGTGACTGAACTGCGTGGTCGGTGCCACAGAAGGAGACAAAGTAACTATCTCACTACAAACATTAACAGTACATAGTAATTGTAGGTTGTCAATTAAGTGACTTTCTTGCCATTAGTGCATCTCTTAAATAATAGACAATTTACATAAGCGAATTGAAAGGTGATATTTTTATGATTCAAAATGAAAACACCAACAGAGTGAATGCTGAATAATTGGAAAATTGAGTCTTTAGCCAAGCGAACATGCCAGTGTATCTGCATTAATGTTCCTGGAAGTACAAAGGAATTATGGTTCATCTCCTGAAAAAGGTCCACAGGAGTAGTTCAGATTGCCATGAGCCCTTCAGCTTCCAAGGACTCTGTTTCCTTAGCTATAAGGGAGTTTAAAGAGCCCATTAAAGTAGAGTTAGGTCAGCACGACACTACATGGTTTGACTTGACAGCCAGAATGAAGAAAGAAGAGAAATTGTTAGGTTTTTTTTTTTATGTCCTTCCTTTCTACCTGTGCAATAAATCACTGAGACCTGTATTATCCCATTTTCCTGGGAGACTGTTAGTAACTATTTAAATGTGGAAGTAAAATATCAAAGAGTAAAAATGCTGAAGTTTTAAACTAAGATTTGGGTTTCCATGGGACCCTTTTCCTCCTACTAGGTTGCCTTGTCTGGCCTTGGCGTGAGGGTTTGTGCCTAGTTATGCATCGTGTTATGCTGTGTTCAGTTGATATCCTTGGGAGGTCTGCTCTTTTCTGAAGGGAAATGAAGGAGCAGTGGATCTGGGGGACAGGATGTCAGGGGGTCCTGGGGGCACAGGATGTCAGGGGGGTCCTGGGGGCACAGGAGGTCAGGGGTTCCTGGGGGGACAGGAGGTCAGGGGTTCCTGGGGGACTGGAGATCAGGGGGTCCTGGGGGACAGGAGGTTCAGGGGGTCCTGGGGGGACAGGAGGTCAGGGGGTCCTGGGGGGACAGGACATCAGGGGGTACTGGGGGGACAGGGGGGTTCTTGGGGGACTGGAGGGAGGGAAACTTCTGTTAGGATGTAACATATGAGAGAAGAATCAAAAACAAACAGTAAAACAATTTATCACAACCAGTTTGTCTACTGCAAGTTTGAATTTTAAGAGGTAATAATTTGAGCAGTAAAAAAAAATGGCAAAAAGATTGTATTATTCAACTCTTCCATTAATACATAACTAATACATAGTGTCTGAAAAGTAAATGTCTTAAAATACTGTCAAGGAAGCAAAGATAAAACCTGATTCCCATAGAACGATGATCATTCCACCAAAACACCATACAAAACCTATCTTAAGCATATGAGCACACATACATCCAGAGAGGGAGGAGAGAGAGCACAAATCACACTATTTATGTTGAATTACATTTAAGCAAAGATAATTAAAAACATCCTCATGGTTGACGGTACCCCCATGATCCAGCGTGCTCTCTACTTCTATGTTGCATAGACACTTTTCCCTGCTCTGATAGGTCCATCTTTGCCATCTCCATCATAAGGACCCCTTTGTGGGCTTCCAACTGAATATTACTCCAGGTAACTTACAAATCCTACTTGCCCCAAAGTGACAAGGAAAGTCATTCCAGGCCCATTGATCTTCGATATTAACAAGAACAACACAGTCTTCTTCCCTAAAGTCATTGGGTTCACCCTCATGCCAGAATCTGAAAGAGAACAATGACATTATACAATCTGGAGAGACAGGTGGAATAACAGAGTAACAATAGTGCAGGGACAGAGCTGCAACCTGCACGACAAGAGTCGCCAGCCAGATGGAGCTACTGGGCACTTGAAATGTGACTTCCAACCCTGGCAGTGGGGGCACACGCCTTTAATCTCAGTACTCCAGAGGCAGGGGGTAGGCAGATCTCTTAGTTTGAAGCCATCATGATTTACAGAGTGAGTTCCAGGGCAGCCAGGGATACACAGGAAACCTTGTCTCTAAAACCAAAAACCAACTAACAAAACAAACAAAAACCTCAGCATGGTACTAGCATAAAAGCAGACTGAGGGATCCATGGCACAGAATGCAGGAATCATAAGAAAGTCAGCATTCCTACATCTGCCTGGGTTTTTGTTTTGTTTTGTTTTTCAGCGAAGCCAACAACGAAGATGGGAGGAAAGAGCATCTTTGACAAATGGGGCTGGCAGGACTGGATAACTAACTGTAAAACAATGAAACCGAATTCTTGCTTCTCACCTCACAGAGCTCAACAATAGATGATGAATCAAGGACCTCAGATAAAACCTGATGCCCTGATCCGATAGAGGGAAAGTAGGGATGCTCTCAAAGTCATGGGCACAGGACTTTGTGAACAGGACTCTAGTGGGAAAGGCATTAAGACCAATACTAATAAATGGGACTTCATGGAAGTAGAGAGCTTCTGTAAACCACATGACAGCACCATTTAAGCGGAGAGGCAGCCTACAGAGGGGAGAGGATATTATCAGCTATGCCTCTGACAGAGGGTTAGCAAATAGAATATACAAAGAACTGAAAGGGAAATGGGTAAACACCAGGAGAACAAATGGGGTTTGAAACCAAGTGGAGTACTCTCAAAGATGAAGTACAAATGGCAGAGAAATGTCTTTAAAATGCCCAAGATTCTTTGCCATTGGGGCAATGCAGGCTAAAACTGCTCTGAGATTTTATCCTGCCCCAGTCAGAATTCCTAAGATCCAAATAAAAAAAAAATGAAGGCAAACGTTGGCATACATGCAGAGAAAAAAGAATACCCATTCATTGCTGATAGGGGTGAAAACTGGGACAGCCACTATGGAAATCCATGTGATGTACCCTCAAAAGGCTAAAAGTACAACCAGTATGTGATCCAGCTATATTGTTCTTGGGAAATATATCCAAATGACTCTATATCCTCCTGTAGATCTAGATACCCACTAATCCATGTTCATTGCCACTCTATTCACAATAGTAAGGAAAAGAAAATAGCCTAGATATCCATCAGTTATGGAATGGATACTGAAAACCTGGCATATTTACACAGTGGAATATTATTCAGCTATTAACAAAAATTAAATGATGACATTTACAGGATGGATCTGGAAACAATCATCCTGAGCAAAAAACCCAGACAAACAGACATATAGTTAGACAGACAGACAGATTTAGAATGAAATTATCCTATAAGTTACCCCTATTAGACACCTCAGGCTGACAAATAAAAGGCCTAGTGCCAGGAATGGTTTACCTCCTTTGGATTTGTTGTCCAATGAGGTCCAACAGACATCTAAATATTACAGCTTATTACCAGTGTTAGTGGTTGCCCTCCAGAACTTCATAGCGTGACCCTATTAGCAAGGATAACACAGATTCAAGCCACATAAATAAAGCCGATGCTATCTGAAAGCTTCATCCCTACTGACTAGCTCTTATAGGGCCCGAAGATGCTGTGAATGCTACTGGGGGTTGGGGGTGGGAGGATGATGAGGAGGAGAAGTCATTAGCCTTACTCAGCTGTGCACCTGGCAAGCTGCAATGAATGTCTGGCAAGATATAACCACTGTCACAGTAGTGGTATGAACGTTATAGGAGCAACCAACTTTCCTGGATTTAAGTGCTGCACCGCAGGATGAAGCCTACATCTGACACCAGTGTCAGCCCAAGAGCTTGTGGCATGGTGGAGACCTTACACTATTAGTATGAGAAATGTACATAGTGCTAAAACAGCTCCTAATGACATATCATTAAGACCGTAGATTAGTGCATCCTTCTATCTTCATCAGAGATGATTCTGTTTATAGTAGATGAAGGTTAACAGAGACCCACAGCTGGTTCTAAATGCTCAGCTCTAAATGCGACATCTGTACCACACCCCATCCTCCTGAGGTTCAGGGGATCTTGGTGGATGAAGTGTTAGAGCCGGAGGAGATGGGTGACCACAAGGAAATAGTGTCCTCCAGACACAGCATGGCGGCTGTACATATGAGCTCACCGTGACTATGGAAGTACGCACAAACCTTGTGCAAGCTCAAGGTGTATCAGACCCCAGCATGGAGAATGGAGGTGGGCACAAAGTCCCATTGCTGGCCTTAGGAACTGATAACTTCTGGGAGGGGGGAGAGTCAACTGTAAGAGTGTGGCCCCTGGTAAACCTTCCACCATAATATATGGGCAACACCAAATGGATGAGAAAATGCAAGATGACACAAAATTGGGTGGGGAGGGAGGCACAAATATGAACAAAACACATTGTTTGAAAATCTCAAATAAAAGAACTAATTTTAAAAGAGAAAGAAAGAAATGTGGTTTCTCTATACTGAGGTATCCTTTAAGTGTTAAGTGCACATGGCTGTACTATATTAAATACATTATTAATAACTGATAACATATTATTAAAGTGGGAGGTGGTGGCACATACCTTTAATCCCAGGACAGCCAGGGCTGTTACATGGAGAAATCCTGTCTGGAAAAGTCTATTTATATTATTACCATAAATTTTACTAATTTTTCCATTTTGGGTGTGTGTGTACTTGTTGTTATTCTATTTGAAACACAGTCTTGCTTTTTGTAGCTATGGCCTCCCTAGAACTCTGTGTGTGTTCCTATACTATTATTTATCAAAATGACAATCCTAAACACTTTTTCACATTACTTTCCTGTTATTTGTTCTTTTGTCAGCAATGTATGATTAAAAATACTGAACATTTTGCTGAAGTAATTATGCAGTGGGAACATAGCATATCGAGATTGCTCAACTGCCCGTATCCTGTCGAGTAAGTCCTTACACTGGTGTGCCCTACTTTAAAATGAGTTCTCCTTGCCATCTCTTCTCACCTTTGCCTATAAATGCCATTAGCCCCAACCAAAATACTCACACCATGTGTGGCTTAAATGGCGTCTGATCTACCCACTGCCACAGACCTTCCGTGTTCTGATCAGTAAGTCCCAGGAAATAGGGAAATTGTCTGTCCAAAAGCCGAGTCATAAAGTTCTGCAATACAAAATATACATTTTTGTAAGTGCTCTTGGGTGATGTCCATTAGGCTGATAAGGAGGGAAGAGGTCAGGAGATTATGGGTTAGGTGTAAACATCACGATATTAGGTAAGTCTGTCCTCAAACCTGCTTAAAATAGTAGAGGGATCCTACTCACCAAACCCTGAGTCTTCTGACAAGTAGAATCACCATGAAGATTAAGCAATACTGTATTGACAACACCCTTAGCACATGCTAAATAGGTTTGATGTTTTTAGAGACTTAAAAAATAAAAGAAAACAAAAACGATTCCCCCAGACTCAATCCCACAGTGTCATCCCCAGCTCTGCAGTAGAACACCCATGGCATCCTTCCCTGACATCCCTGTTCCCATCTCCTATGGAGCCCACAGATCTTCCCCTTCTAACTTTCCTCCTCCACTTTTTGCCTTGTTTTAGACCCCAACAATAGTAGGCACCCCCTAATAACCCACACCCCAGCAATAGTAGGCACCCCCTGATAACCCAAAGGTGGCTCCTCCCAGGGCAACAAGTAGGCTGAAGGTAGACCCACACCTCTCCTGAGATCCACTCCCCCACTCTCATCCCCAGCTCTGGGGTAGGAAACCTGCTGTGCTCTCCAATTCCTCTCTGACCCCACCCCCAGTGGATCACAAAGATCTCCTCCAACCTTCCTTCCCCTAACTCATCCCAGTATCCCAGCCTCCAACACCAGCAGACATTGCCTTTGAACACACCAGTGAAGCAGGCCAGAAAACAGACAACACACAGCTATGAAATTCTCTGAAAATCCTAAGAGGAAACAGAAACTAATGGGGGAAAATACTCACCAACAAAGACAAAGACAAATCCAGAAACCAGCACATAGACATATAATTACCCCAAACTCAAATGCCTAGAAACCAACATAGAAATAACAGTCAGGGCACTATGTCTCCAGTAGAGCTCAACTATTCTGCCTTTAAAGAAATTCAGAAAAACACAAACAAAAAAATGAAGGAAATTAATAAATCTATTTAATAATTCAAGCAAACACAAAAAAGTTAAAGGAAGTGAGTAACATTGTTCAAGACCTGAAAATGGAAATTGAAGCAATAAAGAAATCACAAAATTAGGAAATTCTGAAATAAAAAAATTAGGAATCTGAACAGGAATTATGGTGGCAAGCTTTACCAACAGACTACAAGAGATGAAAGAGAGAATCTCAGGTGCTGAAGACACAAGGAACAGATCCATCAGTTAAAGAAAATGTTAAATCCAAAAACTCCTGACACAAAACAGCCAAGAACTCTCTCTGGAACACTTTGCAAAGACCAAACCTAAGAATGATAGGTATAGAAGGAGGAGAAGAAATCCAGCTCCAAAGCCCAGAAAATGTCTTCAACAAAATCGTACAAGAAAAAATTCCTAACCTGAAGAAGGAAGGCCCAGAAATAAAAGAAAAATTTCTTAACCTAATAAAGAAGATGCCTATATAAGCACAAGAAGCATATTAAGCACCAACTATATTGAACCAGAAAAGAAATTCCCTTCACCACATAGCAACAAAATCACTAGACAAACAGAACAACAAGAGAATATTAAGAGCTGCAAGGAAGAATGACCAAATAACATATCAAGGCAGACCTATTAGAATTACATCTGACTTCTCAGTGGAGACTATAAAAGCCAGAAGGGCCTGGATAAATGTGCTGCAGACTCTAAGAGACTGCAGATGCCAGCCCAGACTACTATACCCAGGAAAGCTTCCAATCATCATAAATGGAGAAAACAAGATATTCCATGACAAATCACATGTAAACAATATCTATCTACAAATGCAGCCCTACAAAAGGTGCTAGAAGGAAAACTCCAAACTAAGGAGGTTAACTATACCCCTGAAACACAGGAAATTAAAAAAAAAAACCTCATACCAGCAAAATCAAAATAACAGAAACACACATCATCACCATCACCAACAACAAAATGACAGGAATCAACAATCATTAGTCATTGATATTTCTCGATATCAATGGACAATTCCCCCCAATAAAAAGATACAGACTAACAAAATGGAAGAGAAAAAAGGACCCATCCTTCTGCTGCATACAAGAAACACACCTCAACATCAAGCATTGACCCTACCTCAGGGTAAAGGATTGGAAAAAAGGTATTCCAAGCAAATGGACCTAAGAAGCAGGCTGGTGTAGGTATTTTAATAAGTAACAAAATAGACTCCAAACCAAAACTAATCAAAAGAGATGGGGAAGGACACTACATACTCATCAAAGGAAAAATCCACCAAGATGACATTTCTATTCTTAACGTCTATGCCCCCAAAACAAGGGCACCCAAATTTGTAAAAGAAGCACTACTATAACTACTGCAGCTTAAATCACATATTGATTCTAAAACACTGATAGTGGGGGATTTCAACACCCAGTTCTCACCAATGGACAGGACATCCAGACAAAAACTAAGCAGAGAAATACAGGAGCTACCAGACACTGGAAACCAAATGGACCTAACAGAACATTTCACCCAAACACAAAACAACATACCTTCCTCTCAGCACTTCACAGAACTTTCTCCAAAACTGATCACATACTCAGATGCCAAGCAAGTCTCAGCAGATACGGAAAAATTTAAGTAACTCACTGCATCCTATCAGACCACCACTGATTAAAACTGGATACCAACTGCAACAGACACAAGAGATAGCTTATAGACTCATGGAAACTGAAAAACTCTACTGAATAAAAAATGGGTCAAGACAGCAATGAAAAAGAAACTAAAGACTTTCTAGGAGCCAATGAAAATGAATGCACAACCTATCTAAGCTTATGGGACACAGTAAAAGTTGTAGTAAGAGGGAAGTTCGTAGCACTAAGTGCCTACCTAAAAGATTGGAGCGATTTTATACTAGCAACTTAATAACACACCTGAAAGCTCTAGAACAATAACAAAAAAATCACACCCAAGAGGAGTAAATGGCAAGAAGTAAACAGAGGGCTGAAATCAATAAAATAGAAACAAAGAGAACAATACAAAGAATCAATGAAACTAAGAGTTGGTTCTTTGAGAAAATCAACAAGATAGACAAATCCTTTTTCAAGCTAACTAAAAGACAGAGAGAATATCCAAATTAACAAAATCAAAACCAGAAAGTGTCAGGGAGGGAAACAGACACTGAGGAAATCCAGAGAATCTAAAGGACATACTTTAGAACACTGTACTCCACCAAATTGGAAAATCTAAAAGAAATGGGTAATTTTCTTGATAGCTACCACTTAACCAGAGCTAAATCAAAGATCAAACAATTTTTATAACTTTTTTATTTAAATTTGAAACAAGCTTGTTTTACATGTCAATCCCAGTTCCTATACCCTCACATCCTCCCCTGTCCTCCCCACCAACCCCCATCCCATCCCCTTTATGCTCCCCAGGGAGGGTGGTGCCTTCCATTGGGGAGTCTTCAAACAGATAATTTAAGTATACCTATAACTCCTAAAGAAATAAAGTCCTTAAAAGTCTCCCAAGGGGGAAAAAAGCCCAGGGCCAGATGGTTTTAGAGCAGAATTCTACCAGACTTTCAAAGAAGAGTTAACGCCAATACCCCTCAAATTATTCCACAAAATAGAAACAGAAGGAACACTTCCAAATTCATTTTATAAGGCCACATGCAAACCACATAAAGACTCAAGAAAGAAAGAGAATTTAGACCAATTTCCCTGATGAGCCATCGATATAAAATATGCTTTATAATATACTTGGAAACCAAATCATAAAATACATACACCAAGATCAAATAGGCTTCATTCCAGAAATGAAGAGATGGTTAAACATATGAAAATGATAAAATGAGTGAATGTAATTCACCATATAAACAAACTGAAAGACAAAAAGAAAACAAAACAAAAACATATAATCATCTCACTAGATGTGGAAAAAGCCTTTGGCAAAATCCAACACTCCTTCATGATAAAAAGTCCTAGAGAGATTAGGGATACAAGGGAAATAGCTAAACATAATAAAGGTAATCACAGCAAGCCTATAGCCAATGTCAAACTAAATGGAGAAAAACTCAAAGCAACTCTATTAAAATCAATACAAAGTTGTCCACTCTCTCCATAGATATTCACTATAGTACTTGAAGTTTTAGCTATAACAGTAAGATAACTGAAGGAGATAAGGGGGGAACAAATTGGAAAGGAAGAAATCAAAATATTATTTGCACATGATATGATAATATACATAAGTGACTCTAAAAATTCTACCATATAACTCCTACAGTTGATAAACACTTTCAGTGAAGTGGCTGGATACAATAATAACTCAAAAAGATCAGTGGCCCTCCTATATACAAGTGACAGATTAAGAAAAAATCAGGGAAACAACTTTCACAATAACTTTAAAATATTATAAAATATAGTAGGGTAACTCTCACCAAGCAAGTGAAAGAATTGTGTGGTAAAATGTTCAAGTTTTTGAAGAAAGAAATTGAAAAACATATCAGAAGACAGAAAGATCTCCCATGCTCATGGATCAGTCAGGTTAACAGTAAAAATGACCATCTTGACAAAAGCAATCTACATATTTAGTGCAATCTCCACCAAAATTCCAACACAATTCTTTACATACCTTGAAAGACAATTCTCAACTTCTTATGGAAAAAGAAAAAACCTAGGATAGCTAACAGAACTGCTAGAGGTATCACCATCCCTTATTTCAAGGTGTACACCAGAGCTATAGTAATAAAAATAACATGGCATTGTCATAAAAACAGACAGATTGATCAATGCATCAAATTAATCAATTGAACTAAAAAGACCCAGACAAAAATACAAACACTATGGACAGCTAAATTTTGATGATAAAGCCAGAAATATATACTGGAAAAAAAGAACAGCTTCTTCAAAAAATGGTCTAATTGAATGTCTGCCTATAGAAGAATGAAAATAGATCCATATCTGTTACTCTTCACACAACTCAACTCAAGATAGATTAAATAACTCATTATAAAACTGGATACATATAAAGTTGAGTATTATCCTTTCAAAATCAGTGAAGAATTGTTCTGGGATTTTGATGGGGATTGCAGTGAATATGTAGATATATGGAAAAACAAAAGGCCCAGGGTAGCCAAAACAACCTTGTACAATAAAGAAACTTCAAGAGGCATCACCATCCCCGACTTCAAGCTCTACTATAGAGCGATAGTCCTGAAAACAGCTTGGTATTGGCACAAAAATAAACAGGTAGACCAATGGAATCGAATTGAACATCCTGATATTAACCCACACACCTATGAACATCTGATTTTTGACAAAACAGCTAAAGGAGGAAAGCATCTTCAACAAATGGTGCTGGCACAATTGGATGATGGTGTGTAGAAGACTCCAGATATACCCATGTCTATTGCCATGCACAAAACTCAAGTCCAAATGGATCAAAGACCTCAACATAAATCTAGGCACACTGAACCTCTTAGAAGAGGAAGTGGGAGGTACCCTTGAACAAATTGGTACAGGAGATTGCTTCCTGAACATAACTCCAGTAGCACAGACACTGAGATCAACAATTAACAAATGGGACCTCCTCAAACTGAGAAGCTTCTGTAAGGCAAAGGACATAGTCAACAAGACCAAAAGGCAGCCCACAGAATGGGAAAAGGTCTTCACCAACCCCACATCTGACAGAAGGCTGATCTCCAAAATATACAGAGAACTCAAGAAACTAGTCAACAAAACACCATATAACCCTATTTAAAAGTGGGGTACAGAACTGAATAAAGAATCCTCAATAGAGGAATCCAAAATGGCTGAAAGACACTTAAGAAAGTGCTCTACATCTTTAGCCATCAGAGAAATGCAAATCAAAACAACTCTGAGATACCATCTTTTTCCTGTCAGAATGGCTAAAATCAGAAACACCAATGACAGTTTATGCTGGAGAGGATGTGGAGAAAGGAGTACACTCCTCTACTGCTGGTGGGAGTGCAAACTCATACAGCCATTTTGGAGATCAGTATGGCGGTTCCTCAGGAAAATGGAAATCAGTCTACCACAGGACCTAGCAATCCCACTCTTAGGCATATACCCAAATGATCCACATCCATGCAACAAAGACATCTGTTCATCTATGTTTATAACAGCATTATTAGTAATAGCAAGAACCTGGAAGCAACCTAGATGCCCCTCAGCTGAAGAATGGATAAAGAAGATGTGGCACATTTACACAATGGAGTACTACTCAGCAGGGGGTGGGGGAGACAATGGAATCTTGAAATTCAAAGGCAAATGGATGGAACTTGAAGAACCATCCTGAGTGAGGTGAGAGGTAGTAGTATACATCTTTAATCCTTGGACTCAGCATTAAGAGATAGATGGATCTCTGTGAGTCCAAGGCCACCCGAGTCTACACAAGAGTGAATCAGTCTAAAAGAGTATTATAGCTCATACCCTTAATCCCAACGTTGGGGAAGTATATAAGACAGAAGCAGGGTCTCAGAGAGACATTCCTTCTCCAGCCATACTGAGGAGAGGTTACAGTCTGAGGCTAGGTGAGAGCTCGTAAGGACAGGACCAGCCCTTTCAGTCTGAGGTAGAAGTAAGAAGATAGTGACTGGTGGTTTAGCTTTTCTGACATTTATCTTGAAATTTGAACACCAGTATCAGTCACTGGGTCATTTTATTTATTTGTGTTACAGAGGGATCAGTTATGGGAGGAGAAGAGATGGAGGGAGAGAGTGTGGGAAGAGACAGCTATAATTGGGAGGGGCATTTGTCGGGTGGTATGAAATGGTACAGTGAAAACTTCCTGAAATCCATGAAGATGATCCTAATGAAGACTCCTAGCAATGGGATACAGAGTCTCAACTGACCATCTCTTGTAGACAGGTGAGGCTTCCAGAGGCTTCCAGGTGGGTTATATTCAGTTGAGTTGTTGGCAAGAAAGGTCTCTTGGAAAACCCCAAACAACCCAAGCTGATGCTAAAGCAAAGGGTTGTTCTCTGTAAACTGGCAGTGGGTTCTACATTGCCAAGGACAATATCCATACAAATTCACTGAACTAAGAGAGATCAAACCAGTGCCTACTTGGAACCTTCATCCCTACTTTCTAGTCTTTTGGGTTCTGAAAGAATCAACCCCACCACAGCACCTTTGGCCTACAATCTGTCCCATCTGAAAAACACGCAAGGGCAATGGTGGCACAAAACTTGTGGGAGTAACTAACCAATATCTGATTTGACCCAGACCCAACACTACTTGGCTAACTAGAACCAGAGACTATATGTCCCAGAATCCTAGAGTAAAACCAAATAAAATTATTCCCGATGATACTCTGCTATACTAATAGATCAGTATCTTACCCAGTCATCATCATAGGGGCTTACTCTAGCAGTAGATGGAAGCAGATGGGAGAGATCCACAGCCATACACTATGCAGAAAGAGACTCTAAATTTGAGGTATCCATCAATCCCGCCCCCTTCTCAGAGCTCAGGGAATCCCAAAGAGGAGGTAGAAAGATTGTAAGAGTCAAGGGGGATGGAGGACAACAGAACAAGACCTAAACCAAATAAGCAAGGTGCATGTGAGGCCATAGGGACTGAAGAAGCAAGCACAGGGCATAATGGGTCTACAGCAGATTCTCCGCATATATATTATAGCTATTAGCTTAGTATTTTTCTGGGACTCCTGGCTGTGAGGAGTGTGGGTCTCTGACTCTTTTGCCTGCTCTTGAGACTCTTTCCTTCCCATGGGGTTACTTTGTCCAGCCTCAATATGAGGGCTTTCACCTTATCTTATTGTTCTGTCCTGTATGGCCATCACCTCTTGGACACCTGCTCTTTTCTGAAGAGGAAATGGAACAGGAATGAAACTGGGGGAGAGAGAAAGTTGTTGGGGGCCTAGGAGGAGCAGGGTTCAGGAACTGTGGTTGGGATGTATTGTATGAGAGAAGAATCTATTTTCAATAAAAAGGAACAAAGACATGATGTGTTCTATATAATTCCTCGGGTGTATTATCAGAAAAAGGGTAAATTATGCTATAATGTATGTTGGACTTTCTTATTACGAAAAGCACAGTTGAAAACCAGAGGTTAAAAAAAGAAGGAATTGGGGACAGGAAGAAAAGGCTTTCTAGGCTGATGAAGAAGAGGAGGGAAGGATACACAGGGAGCCAAGAAATCTCTTCTCTACAAAGAGATGTAAGACAACAAAATAACCGGTGGCCCCGGTTAGCTTTTACTGTCTACTCACACAGCCTAGAATTACTTGAGAAGGGAGTCTCAGGTAAGAGGCATCCAAATCAGAATGGCTTGTGGGTGTGTCTGTGGGGAGGTGTCTGTGGGTGTGTCTGTAGGGAGGTGTGTGGATTGTTAATTGACACAGGGGTACCCCAGCCTACTGTGGACAGCACCATTCCCTGGGCAAGTGGTCCTGGGCTAAAAAGAAACTAGCTAAGCATGTGGCTTTGAGTGGGCCAGAAAACAGTGTTCCTCCTTGGTTTCTGTTTCAAGTTCCTGCATGAATTCCTGCCCTGAATTCCCCTCATGAGGGACTATAAGCTGAAATAAACACTTTCCTCTTGGAAGTTACTTTGGGTTGTGTTGTCACGGCAACACAATGGAGCGGGAGCATCAGTGTAAGCTGAGCTGATACATACCTGCTCTGCTTCGGTGTTGATGGTCGCCAGATGACTGCCCATCCCTGAGCAGTTCCTCTCGCTCTCATGCCATGTCTGGTTGTCATTAAGGGGGAAGTAACAGTTAAACTGGAAGGCTATCCAGCCATCAGGACAACAGTTCCAGGTACCTCCTCAGATGAGAATGGAAATGGGCATTAGTTACAAAGGAGCATTTCACTTGTGACAGATGCACACTTAACTTACTACAAGTACTACCTTAGAAGACGTTAACATGGTTCAGTATCCTTACATGTATGTGCTTTCCAGAGCTAGCAATGTGGCTCAATGGTAAAGTACTTTCCTAGAACGTGAAAAGTCCTGAGTTTGATACTTAGCAAAGAAAGAAAAGAATTGAGAGGGGGGAGGGGAGAGAGAGAGAGAGAGGGAAAGAGAGGAAGAGAGAATTTTTAATTTAAAATTAAGCAAAATGTTCCTATAACAAAGTCTTTTTGCAGGACATTTTATTTGGGAAAAAGCAAAGAATATGCAAAACTCAAGAATTCCTTAGTTCTCTGTAGCTTTATAAATTCCACAATATAAAGAAATAGGTATCTCAGCAAAGTTATTTAAACTGAGAAGAAACTGTCCTCATGATATACCTGAATCAAAGTAAAATTGACTGAAGTTCGTGTTGTTATGTTTCAGATGTCAAAAATACCAATCTAGGGTAATGATGCAGACCTGTAATCTTAGCTCTTAGGACACAGAAACAAGACTCTAGGCCAGCTTGGGCTACATAGTAAGACCCTGTCTCCAAAAAGTAAAAAAAAACAAGCAAACAAAAGCAAGATCTGTTGATGGGGAGCAATTACCCAGCATGTACAAGGCCCTGCACTCCATCCCCAGCACCACAAAAATAAACTAAAGGTGTTGCACTACTAGACTACAGTCACAAGAAGTCATTCTGTCCCAATTGACTGATACTCATCCTTGTAGCAAGTTCTCATGTTGTGTTACATTGTTCCTTTCTGACTTACTCCAGTCTCACATTCTGTTAACATTGTTTCTTTCTGACTTACTCCAGATTCATGTTGTTACATTGTTCCTTTCTGACTTACTAAGGTCTCATGTTCTGTTACAATATTCCTTTCTGACTTACTCCAGTCTCATGTGTTACATTTTTTTCTTTCTGATTTGCTATGGATGTTCTTTAAAGGCTGAATTGAAGGCGTTTCCTCTACTACCTGTAGCTCCAGGCTCTGGCTCCCCTCGGACACATGTTAGCCTTGTGTGGTACTCTGAGAGCTTCACCATTTCTGTTCTTCTTTCCCATCGTGAAAAGTAACGGTGAGTCACTGTCAGGCAGGAAAAAAAAGTTATTCCCTGTGTAGCCACTGATTTAGAAAAGTGAACCGATCTCCCCACCCTTCTCCTACCCTTGCAGTTAAGGTTCCCACACCCTTTTTCTTTCCTATGCTATTCTGTCATCCCAGGTAAATTCATTGGAAGCACCTTCAGAAAGCTAATATTTTATAATCGTCTTATCCACTTTGTGATTACATTGGAAGTTTTGGAATCTTTTGGGTGCATGCCATTTTCAGTTTATTCTATCAGAATGTGTGTGAGAGGAAGGATTTTAGTAAACATTGGGCTAGTTCTACAAAGTTTTATGAACTTCGTGAGTTTAGTAATATTTTCATTATATTTCAAGTACTTGAAATGTAATCAAATATTAAAAATAAAAATAAAATAAATGCACAGGTTGGTAAACTACCATAATGTGAACACTTTGGGCAAGGACTGCCAAGTTCAAGAAATAGAATGCTGTCAACACCCCAGGTAGCCATTATACCCCAGACACAGCCCAATCTTCCTTTGTGGTTAATCATCTTCACCCTGTGCTGTGCTTTGCAGTTCCTGCCTGGAACCATACAGATCAGAATGTCCTTCTGAGATTCTCTCGGAATGAACTCAGCTGACATGTGTCCTTTGGTGCTGACTTACACTCAGCATTGTTTCTGAAACAATATTGCTGCCCATGGTTACTGCTCATCCATTTTCATAACTAGAAAGTGATCTATTATCTTCACACAGCTTCTAGCACATTTCTTGCTTCCAGAGTTTGGCTGACATGAACTGTGCTACTCTGAGCATTTTTGACATTGTATCCCAAAGCGACTAAGTATGCATTTCTGTTACTGGTGGTAGTTACATGCATGGCAAATGGGAAAGCTTTCCAAACAGGCTTACTACTTTGTGTTCTCTCCTGTGTCTTTATCCTCAGATGCTAAACTTTTAGTCATTCCCATTCTGGTGTTTTACAGTGTTGACTCATTGTGAATTGCAGTTTTACTTCCCTAACAACCAAGGAGGTTGACAGGTTGTGTTTGCAATCTTTTTATTGTCTCTTCTCTATAATGTCTACTTAAGACTTTGTCCATTTTTTTATTATATTGCTGACATGTTCCCAATTGTTTTGACAGATTACTATACATTCTGCACATTAATCCAGTACAAATATTCTGTCCTGTAGAGTTCTGTTTTCATTACAGTGGGCTGTTCTTTGTGCATAAGATCCAAGAAACCAATTTCATTTGTTAAACATAGTCAATGATGTCTAAAACATTAGTTTAACAAAACTCTACTTTCCCCATAATTCTTAAATATCTCCCTTTATTTTAGATAAGGAATTACTTATGTAGAGTCCATATCTCAACTATCTATTCTTTCCTCCAGTCTATTTGTCTTAGACCTACATTGTATTAGTCCAGTCATAACAACCTTATCTTAAAGCTTGATATCGGATAGAACAAGACTTTCTATGGGGTCAGTGGTGCTGATGGCTTCATGGATGCTTGTTTGTCCCCAATTTTCAGGTGGGCACATTTAATACGTATAGCTTTTAATTAAATGTGCTTCAACAAGTGCTTTATTTGGAAGCAAACAGAGCAATCTTACATAGATTGGAAAATCAACTGTATAGCTCTAATGTTAAGCCAGGGGGGGGGGGGAGATGCATTGTATGTGGATAAACTGAGGATAAGTGAAGCTTTGGGCATGCATGTTGGAAATCCTTGGGGAAAATTATTCAAGATGAGCTTCGTTTGTGTATAACTTACCCAAACAACTTGCTGTGAAGCAAGCACTGAGAAGCGAGATGAAAACAATAGCCAAGACCCAAGGGGCCAACTGGGGGTGTCGGGCCCCTTTCCCTAAGACAGAAAGAAAAATAAGTGAGTTTCCTCTCTGCTGTGAGGGAAGCCAAGATTATCGAGCCTTAGGCTAAGTATGAGCATGCAGAAGGTATTTGAGGAGTACAGGAGACTTAAATATTTCCTGTGAATAAACCAATCTTAGAATCTGCTAGTAAATAAAGAAAAACATAAACTTTTTAATAAAGGTTTTTTTTCTAAGCAGAACATAAAAACAAAAGCCATAAAAATTAAAGCTTCTATATAGCATAAATAATGGAAAACATGCACATGCATGTACACACACACGTACACACACAAGGAAAAGAAAGCCCTTGTTGTAATATCACTATCAAGCACACATGAATTTCTAAAATCAGTTCAAAAACAGAGCAAAATTATGAGCAGTATATTTAATCTGCTGAGACTGTCAGTGGTCATCAGACAAATGAACGTGCATTTCATTGGAGAACTACAAACTAAAGGCAAGGTTTTTCACATTGATTCAAAAAGCATACTGGAAGTATGCAGTGTTAGCCCAACTGAGAGAAAGCACTCAGGAGAGGAGATTGCTGAGGCTAATCCCTAAGACCCCCCCCCAACCACCAATGAGCAGCACTTGTCCATTCTTGACTTTTTTATTTCATTTATTTACATATTTATTTATTAGTGTGTGTGCACCTACCATGGTGCACGTGTGAAATCAGAAGACAACTTGTGAGGGCTGGTTCTTTCCCTCTACCATCTGGGTCCTCAGGCTTGATGGCAAGTGCTGTCATCTATGGAGGCACCTTGATGACCCAGCATTAATCCATTTGTAAATGCATTGCATTTCTGTACCAACTTCAAGCTAGAACTCTATGCCACAAATACAACTGCATTTATTTGTATAAAAGCATATTCCTAGCAGTATTTTTTTCTACCATATCTGGTACAATAGGCATATAATCCCAACCATTCAGGAAGTGGAGAAGGACTAAATTCAAGGGCTGCCTGGGGCTAACCCACAAAATACAATGAAATTCTGTGTAGAAATTAAAAGTAAAAAAAGGGTTGATGGTATATCTCAGGGCCAGCACACTTACTTCCCTAGGATGGGTAGACATTGCTTCTAGTATCCAGTACAAAACAAAATCAAAACCAAGCAAGCAAAGCAAAGCAAAAAACAAACAAACAAACAAAAAAACCAACAGTGTCTTTTAGGACTATAGTACATTGTGGTCCTGTTGAAATTAGCTATAGCAGACTGATGAGATTTTAAGCAAGACTTAAATTTTAAACATACTTTAACATTTTTACTATTTTTATTACTAAAGCATTTTAAGCTATTCTTTGATAATTTCATACATCTAAACAATGTGTCTTGATCATACCCATCCTTAAGTCGCCCCACCTCACCCTCCCATTCCCATCCCCAGCAAGTTCCCACTTCCCCGTGCATGTTCTCTGCTTTTTTTTTTTTTTTTTTTTTTTTTTTTTTTTTGTAGCTGTTGTTGTTTTTGTAATTCACTAAGCCCACAGAGTGCTGTCTGCTGGAATACTGACTGATCTTGTGCAGGCAGCCATAGCTGCTGGGACTTCATGGCTACAATGACCATATCATATCCAGAAGATGTATCTATAGCTTGCTTATTATATTGTGTAATTAATATGATAAAGCGCTACTTAGCAGTCTCATTGTGCAAACCCAGTAGCATCACTTAACAGGAAACCAGATAGAGCCTCTGGTATATCATGAGCTATGTTTGCTATAGGTCTTCTTCCCCTCAAAGCAATCTTCCAAAGTATTTATCATTTTCTTGTTATCCCATTTCTTTTTATATTCTTTATGTCTTCTCTTGGTTCTCTCTGATTTAGTGTCTGTTGTGCAGCCTATTGGGATTTATTTATGTCTTTTCTCTTTACCAAGGGTATCTTCATTTTGTTCTCATTTCTGTCATCTCTGCACTGAATTAACTCATATTTTAAAGTCATAGTCATAAATATTTCTAACTAGTTAAATGTGAAAGGGGCTGGACTTGATAGCACATCAGCTGTCATCTCAGCCCCCAGAAATGGAAAGCAAGAAGATCCAGTTAGAGGCCAGCCTGGGCTACACAGAGAATTCAAGGCCAGCCTTACTAAATAGGTAGACTTTGTCTTGAGGGTGGGGAGAGAAAGAGACTCACATTTCCTTCGATTTTCTTCTAGCTCCATTATGTGTACCAGGAGACTCGTCTCTCTTCTACTTCTTCACATTCAGAAACATTTAAAACTTGACATCAGTGCATCTGACCTATTCCGGTAAGATCAGTAAGTGCCAGTAGAAGGAAGCTGAGAAGAAGAAATCTTCAAACAATGAGGTTTCCTCTAAGGTACTCCAGCAGATGAGGCAAAGAGAAAAAGGAAATTGAGAAAGCAACTCCAAAACGGTCAATAGAAACTTCCAGAAGTGTGTCATGTAAGATTTCTCAATGTGTTTTTGTTAAGTCATATATCATGTTTTCAAAAGTAGTAAACGTTTGAGGTAAGATGTGGCTTGGAGAATTCTGTGAGCTCGACGAGATGTGCCCAGGATGGCAAGAGAAACACTTTTAACATATACTTTGTGCACAAGCACATGTAAGGATGTGAAAGCCTTTGCTTTAGAACTGAGGAAGAGGGCAGTGAAGCTGTTGGGATCTCAAGCTCGTCCCAGGTAAGAGAAAATAGGCTCCTGTGGCAAAGGTAAAAAGGTTGCATGAAAAAACGCACCATGGTGATCCCTGGCTCCACCTACAGGATTGTTAAAGAATGAATGTTTATGTTCCTCCAAATTTTGTTTGCTGAAGCCATAGGCACTTCCCTTCCGTTGGTGTTTAGAGGTGGAAGCAGGGGTCTCAGAGAGAGGAGCGTGGCAGGGTCCTGCAGTAGAAGCTTCTCTTCATTTGCAGGAATAGCAAGCAGGCCGGTGTGGGATGTGTTTGATGCATCTCTGTTAAGTAAACAGAAAAGTAAGCCTGTGTGCTCTTGGAAATGCCAAAGATTGTTCATTCGTGAATTAAAACTAATCATGTGGTATTGGCACTTTATGACACCTTCCGTAGGTGCTGAGTCTGTGTCAGTGGTTTATGTTGATGTCTGGGGAGTTGTTGCTTCAATTTTGATTGGTTGGTCAGGATTGGGGAGTTTGGTTTTTTGCCACAGAGTCTCCCTATACCCAGAATGAAGCCTGGGCTGGTTTAAATTACAGTACTCTGGGCCTCCATCTCCAACTGTTAGGATTATAGGTGTGTCCCAGCACACCCAGATCTTAGGCTATATACATTTTTAGTAAGCTTAAAGCAATACAACAATAGCTATAAGGTGCATATGAACGATTTCACAATAGAAATATAATGTATGAAGACTAAATTTCTGACAGAGTGCATGCACAAGCCTCACTGGTATCCCAGACACCATCTGGGGTACCAAGAACAGGTCACTGGTTCCCCCCTACCAGGAAATCCACGTTTAAATTTCAAAAGATTTATGGAAAGGCTGGAAAGGCTCACAAGGACTTGAGTTCAGATCCTGAGCGCCACATGTAAAAATGCCATGGCAGTGGACATCTGAACCTCAGTGCTGGAGGAAGGTGGTGGCAGAGACATTGGGGCCTGCTGGGAAGAAACGCGAGTCTATGCCAAGAACGCCGCTGTGGCTTCTGTGGCTTCACTCTTGGAACACCTTTTCTGATTCAGCAATGAGATCAGACCTCGAGCCCCTTACCATCATGCCTCTACCTCCCTACTACAGCTGTTGCTGGTATTTTCTCCAGTGGTCAATGTCACGTCTTCGTCTGAGGAAGAACCGTGTTCCTGTCTTGAAATGAGCAGGTGTTCCCCACCCCCGCTGCAATGGTTCTAAAATTGTCTCTAGTAAGCGATGCCCTGCATAAGTTACGGAATCATTGTACTTCCACCAAAAACATATGGTGATATTTGCAATGTTCATGCATCCCATAAAATCTGGAAGAACTCCCTAACTCTACACAGTCCCTGCAGAATTAACTAGAAAATGATCATCTTTTTCTTAATCTCTTTAGTTTGTTTATTTATTTACTTATTGGTTATTTATTGATTGTGCTTTAGAATAACCCCAAGAAGGATGGAAAGATAAATGAAATACATGGACTGGAAAGACAGATCAGCATCTGTTTTTCCAGAGGACCCAGGTTCCATTCCTAGTGCCAACGAGGTAGCTAACAACCATTTGTAATTCCAGTTTCAGGAGATCTGCTGCCCTCTTCTGACCACTGAAGAGAATGCATAAGAGACACATGCAACGAAACACCCACACACAAACAAATGAAAATAACAGCATTTCCAGAAAAAGCTTATGGAGAAGCAACAAACTAATGTATTTGCAAAGAAGGAAGAGAGAAATCACCTTTCTATAGAAGTTATGTGTAAAACCAACTTAGAATCCTTTTTGAACTACCTATCTTGTAAGATGACTGGAGTCCATACAAACTCATTCCAATTTTCAAACTGTATTTTTTTTTCATAAGAAACTAAAACTTTCTAAAGAAATTACTGATTTTATGTTATACACTCACACAAATAAGAAATTATGAGCTTCTTAAGGTGTTTGAAGAGAAGTGTAATACAAATTTACCAACTAATTTAAAGGCTCAAGTCACATAAGATGCTAGCATACATACCACTGCATTCTGGTGCTACAAAGTCAAGCTAGACTTCCTGATAAATATGGTACTGGACACTGACACAAGGGAAACTGTCTGAATGTCCCAAACACAGATTCTGGCTTCCCAGATGCTCGGGTTCTAAACCACTGATTCCCATCATGGCATATATTTATTTTTAAATGCCTTTCTTTGAAATTAAACAAAAGTAAATATTGTTTGGATGAAAATCAGTGGTAGGGTAGTTAGCTTGAGCATGTGGTGTTGCTATTTTTAATCTATGCAGATTTTCATTATAGCTAAAGTAGTTTATGTTCAGCTAGAATCTTCAACTCACCCCTGCTTGATCTGGCCATTCCTCCCTCTCCAAACCACACCTTCTCAGAAAGACAGCTAAAAGTGTCTGTGGCTTCTCTCCCAACGTTGCTAGCTGCTCAAGACTCTGCCTAAAAGCATACCATACTTGGGCACAAACCCAGCTTGTAGAGGACCCGTCATCACCCCAGCACCTACAGGCCATATGATTTTTCTCCTGCCTCCTTCCCCCACCTCTATCTCTGGGGACTGGAGTGCTTTGTCAAATAAACCTGGTCCTTTACTTTTTAATTCATCGTATTCTGGCTTACTGCCCCAGTAGAGAAACCTATTAACAAGGGACAGAAAGCCTATGGTTTGCAGCCCTGCCTGTGATGCCCAGGGCCCCTCTTCGGCACATCCTTGGCAATATGTTTCCTAGAAGAAGACACTGAGGTGGAATCTCAGTGCTGCTTCTTGTTTGGTTGTTTTGCTTTTGAGACAGAGTCTCACCATCTATCTCTGACTATCCAAGAACCCAATCTGTAGAACTTTCTCCTACTCCATCTCAAACAAAACTCCTCAAATGGAATGTGCCGCTCTTCTACTTCCTATGGATCTCTATCAATCCTCCTGACTCCCTCTCATTCTCTATGATTTGTTTTCCTGTCAGCTGGTTGCTTGCTCCATCTCTTAACCCATGGTTGACTTTATTTGATACTGTTTACAGTATTTATACAGAAATCTCTTGGATTGAAGATGTGTGCTAGAGCTAATCCACACCACAAGTAGAAAAGCTTTTTCCAGTAAACAATGCAGTCTCGGGGTTCACTGTGGGATCAAATATCCGGCAACAAAGTGGAAAAATTGTGAGAGCTCGAAGGCCAGGAAGTCTGCTGTGAAATGTTGCATCTTAGAATTGACAGGGAGGCTGCACCCATGAGACCTCAATAATATGGCTGCCTAAACAGGACCCAAGCACTTAAGGCACCAATGGGCATTCTATCATGGAAGGGGCTAATCTCACTGGGCCTCACCCCTAGGACTTCAGGCAACTAACAACTGCCAGGATAGAAATTAGTCTGTCCCAGGGATGAGCCCCCAAATTGATTTTCCAATACAAAGTAATCATTTCTAAAATCACATACCTACAAGCTAACTTTATATATCTATGTGTTTATACAAATATGTAATGGTAACAAAGAAAAAAAAGAAACCATGAATTTAAGAGGGTGTGAGGAAGGAGTACATAAATTGGGCAGAAGTGGGGAAAGGGAATTATGCAATTATATTTTTAAAATAAATATTAAATACTAAATTAATATTAACATAATATTAAAATAAATATATTAAATATATAGAACCATGAAAATTTTCTAATGATTCTGAGATAAATACCATGAGTTTCTTACTTACTTTCATAGAAAGTGCTACAAAGGTAAAATAAAAAATAAATAAATTAATTAATTAATTAAAAAGAAAAAAGAAAGAAAATGCTACAAGAGGAGAAGAGGCTTTGTTGATAAAATCTACAATGCCACCTGAACAATTCAGCCTGAAATGTTTTTGATTTGCGAATGAAGCAGCAGGACTTGCGTAGGAGGAATTCAGGATGGAGCTCAAGATGAACAGGAATCAGACACTAGAACAGGAAGTTTGGTTGCTCATGGCAAGATGGTACTTTTTCAACAAGATTGCATTTTAGGGAAGATTATGAAACATGTCGCCAATTTCCCAGTATGACTTTGGTGAGTCACTAGAAAAGAGGAAGATGTCTGGGGATCTAGAGAGACCTCTGATGGATGTAATCAGGCCAGAAAACTTAATGGTTCTCAAATCTCTGGACAAAATCCTCTCACAGCTCAGCTCAGGTCTATTATACCACACTTATCCTCCTTAGTGTTTGAAGGTTAACGTCTGCTATCACAAGGCTGATCCATTCAATGCATTCCCCAGCCCCTCTAGAAGTCTGTCTCCTCTGTACATACACCCAGGAATGAAAGCCTTGCTCTCCCAGAGCTTGCTTGTGTTTGTTGATGGTATTTGTGCTTACATACATTTTCATGTCTATCACATTCAACTGTGAAAGCTGCAGTCAAAGCGGGGGCTCTGCAAAGTGGATCACTGCTTGGACAGCGCCAGGAAAACTAGCAATTGCCTACAACAACTTACGCTGACACAGGCCATCTGTACTCCCTCCCCCCGGGGCCTTCCCTTGCTGTCACCTGTCCCCCCACGGCTCACTGCCCTTTCACCAAAGAGTCCCTTTCATTTCTGTTGGTTTGTTTCATCCCATTTTGCAATCTCAGCTCTCCCTCCCAGATGAACATAGCTGCAAATATATCCTCAGTAAAATACTATTAAAGACCATATCAAA